TCCTGACCATCTTGTTCAGCGACCCCCATTCGCGGGGTTCCAGCACGACCTCAGGCTCCTGAATATTTGGACGTTGACGGCGAACGAATCACAATTTGTTGGCTTCCCGCTCTAAGTACTCTTCCTGTTTTGGTATGTCATTACTTCTGAGTCTACTTTTCCTTTTGACCACTTATTACTACCACTTATATGCTTCAGGGCTACGATGTTGAGTTCCGTGATTTCCAACAAGATGCGGGTTGGTACAAAGTAAATGACCAGCCTATTCACGCTTGCAAGATGACCGGTATGTCTGTTTAGTATTAGGCGGTTAGTTCTCTGCCAATCTTTTTTTTCTACTAATTTGTAAGCTCTGAATACAAGAATTTTGGCTATTTATTTGTCATCCATGTTGTTCACGTGTGTTTATAGGGATACTTTGTAATACTGTTATTTTTCTTCAGTTTTTATTTGTTTGTTACTTTCTATTTGATTACACCTTCCAATGGGTTTATCGCGTCATCGTGGTTGGAAGGTGTTTCTGGGTGTCGGGTTGCGATGTGCACCGGAAGCACTCATCCCCCGGCAGGGTCTCCCAAGCTGAGTCCGGCGTTTCCATCAGGAAGCCTAGCTAAGTATAAACCAATACCAGGATCCGTCACGGTCCTGGTATCAAACTAGTCGCATGGTGGCAAATCTCCCTCGAATTCACAAGAGTGGCAACTGCTTGTAGTGGTGGCGACCTGGACCAGACTTTGGCCAGCCTCTCCTTGGGTCGCCAGGGAAATACAATGGCTAAACCAGCAAAACTCCGGAGGATGGAGGTTGTTTTGGGGTCCACACAACCAGTGAGAAGTAAGGGTATGATTATGTAGATCGTGCTGTTAAGAATACATTTACATTTCTTGAACTTGCACATGGACTTGCGCTTAATTATTTCGGGCTGTCTTGTCCCTCAAAGGTTTCATAGCTGTTACATACTATTTTCACCTTATTACTTGTTGCAGGCTTGTTGTTTTATCATATTTACCTTTACAGTGGGTGATTTGATCGTTGGCCACGAGTACCAGTTCCGGGTATTGGCTCATAACGTTGTTGGCTGTTCGGAACCCTCTGAGGCGTCTCCTCCGGTCAACATTCACGCAAATGCATGTACGCGTTCTCCTTCAGCTAGTTTGACCGTTTTTTTTTTTGTATTACGCATTGAACTAGAATTTTTTGCTTACAGTTGGTAATGCGAAATACATTGAAGCGGAGCGATTCGGATCTGTCAAATTACTTATGGAGGAGATGATCCGAGAATCTCCGCCACTTCCAGAACGCGATGATTCTCCTCCACCTCTGCACAAAGCGAAAGGAGACAGCAATTGTGAGGAATTCGTGACAGTTTCATCTTTTGATTACAAAACGTTTCATTGATGTTCAGTTATAGATTTAAGCAGGAAGGATTACCTTCTGGTAATTTCTAATCTGTCACCTTTTTGTGTACTTTCAGTACATTGGCGTGATCCATCCTTGAAAGAAGTCATTGATTATTTGGATAATCCTGATAGGGAGAAGCAGTTAAACGCTAGTGGTTATTTACAACACCTAACATACAGCGATAATCTTATCAAAGATGAGACCAGGTAAACTTCTAATTGTTTATCTATCTAATTGATAGAAGTAGCTGAGATATACGCAAAGCGAAGGACCCGGATGGTGTAGTGGTGAAGTGCGCTGCTCCCCGGTAAGGACAACAGCGCGTGTTCGTTCTCCACTGCATACACCTGTGGTCCGGAGTTTTGCAAATATCTCAGCATTTCATACGAGTTCTAATTGTTTATTTGGGAGCTGTATCTTTGACTTATGATGCATATTTCCAGAGAATATGGAGGCATTCCAAAATTAATACAACTTTTAAAGAGCGATATGCCAATCATTCAAAGGAACGCATGCGCTTGCTTGAAAAACCTTTGTTTTGGAAAGGAAAACGACAGGAATAAAGTATGTGTTTTAAAGCTGCTGAAGAAAAAATCTAGGTTTATGGTCTTCATTTTCTTCTTTCTGTTTCATGTGAATTTTTATCTTAATTTTATAATATTTGTTCATCTGTAGGATGTCAACATCAATTTCTCGTTGTATGTTCTTAATATTTTGAGTTGTTGAGTTCTGCGGTCCTTTCTTTAAGCTGGCAATTCTCGACGCTGATGGCGTACGGATGTTGGCTGCTGTCCTCCAAACAACGAATGACGGTGGTGTTAAAGAAGAGGCGACTGCTGCTCTCTGGAATTTGTCTAGCTCTGACGTGCTCAAACCGGTCATTGTCGAAGCAGCTACGGATGTCTTAGTTCATCAGGTTATGTATTCCCATAGCTACAAACGATTAGTGTTCAAAATAAGAAAAAAAACTATGGCAAGATGGGAATATTCTACTCTTTCCTGCTCTTTTTTGACCAACAACCACATGCTTCTAATTGTGATGCATAATTTCCTACCTGAATCACGTTTTTGAGGACACGTTACCGCTTGTCTATGAATATCGCAGGGAGGTTCAAGTGTTCTGCGGATTTTTTAAATTTTGAAAGATTTCATTTCGGAAATATAAAGATGATGGTGTAATTTCTGGGCGTACAGTTCCATGTGTTTGAGATGGTCTCTTTCCATTGTCTTATACCTACCTGTCTTCTACTGCTTATCCAGTATAGAAAGTCTTTTTATTTCTTCAATTACATCAGTTGACTAATGAATTAATTCAAGGTTTCGTCTTCAACTCTTGGTTGTCGATCTAATGGTGTTTCGAACAGTATTGATCCACTGGAGCAGTGTAGCTCACCTACGTTCAAAAATGCCACCGGCGTTCTCAGGTCCGATTTCGTCTGTTATCGTCCAATTTTTCTTTTTGTTTTCGTATTTTACTGCAAGTCGAGTGAGATAAAGTGATACAGATGATCGCTTGTTCGATCCTGTGTACAGGTCTCGTCAAATCTCTATGAAATTTCAAAATTATTATTGTACTTGTTCAGAATGGTAGAAAAACAGTTATATAGTATCTTACACTCCTTAGAACATTAATAGCTCCTCGTAGATTACTGTTGCTTCGGACTAAATATGTATTCAATCTTCTACGATGCTTAGTGAAGTTGTGTGCATAGTGTACTTTCAGGAGTAGACAAGTGCCAGACGATTTATTGTCCTTCTTTTCTACCATCGTGTATGATAGTCTCCTGCTTGAAACCCTGCCATAAGAATCGTGTTTCTTTAGACAAAATAAGTTTCGGGAATGTCGGGTCAGGAATATTCGCCGGTTTCGAAAGGCAGCTTAGAAAAGCAAACTGATTGGTGAAGGATTGTTTCATTAGTCAAGATTCCTTTAAACTGGATTGCTAAATTCTACACATTTATTTTCCAGCAAGATAGAATTAAACACTGATAGAACTGAATTCTAAGTTCATAGAAGTGACAACTTCCGCCAATTCGCTTTCAACAGCAGCATCATTGTTGACTTTTCTCTCAAGGAGTTGTTGAGTTGCTTGCAAAAGTGACCACATTTTGAGGGAGATCCGATAACTACACTGGATATAGTTTCATTGCCTAATTCGCTCAATTTCTGAAATGTTATTTGTGCAACGTGTGGAGAAGCGTCATAGTGCAGCAAGGTTGGATCTGGACTGTTGGCCATTTAGGAAAACAGGGCCAAAATATATAGTCAATTTCATCGTCTTGGTGACAAACTTTTCCAGTTATTATCGGAAATGACACCCATTTCTTTTACTGTTTTATGTTTGATGCCCACGTATTGCTTTCGAGCTCTGAATGTGGGGCTGGGTATACTTAAAGGTGGCTTACCACCCTGTCCCAGAGTAGACTTGGTTCTTGAAGCTTATTTGTTGGAGGCGACTTCTCACCTGCTCCCATGTACTTCCCAGTCATTTATTTGCTGGATTTTGGCCGAATTGAGGCAAAGAATACAATCAGCAGGGACGAAAACACACCCACACTAACATGTATTGTTTTCTTAAACAAAGAAGGTGTGTGTCAAAGGTCTCAGCAGCAGAAACAATGAGTGCACCTTCTGGACCATTTGTCTTAGAGATGTGTAAGGTCGCTTTTGGTCCGCGATTAACTCTCGTACTGTATACTACCATAGTGACAGAATTTTCTTTGCAATAATTCTTTAATACAAGTTTATGGGGTCATGAAGTATTCAAGCTATCGAAAAATCTTATACCTAAAAGTTATAAAGAAGCTAGCCCTTGTTTATAAAGGGTAAAAAGTAGTGCATTCAGCTTTGGTCAGTCCTAAAAGATGCTCCATACTTTTTACTCGATTAGCCACCGTAGAAATGATTGAATGAACATTTGGCTTCTGCAGTGACTTGCGATGGCCTATTGATGTATCACTCGTTTTTATCTTCGCAGACAGGTCGGGTAATAATTTATTGACCCTACAGAGATGGGAGCTCCTTCTTTTGTCCCGATCGCAGGGTCGAACTAACGACCGTCTTCGGGTGCTATTGTGCACCTCTAGGAACGGTGCGCATATCTAATATTGTTTAGAATATTCTCTTTCAGAAATATTAGCGCAGCTAATACTGCAGCCAGAAAGAGACTGAGAGCCTGCCCGAATCTTATAGAGGGTCTAGTGTACTTTTTAACGATTGCGATTCAGCGAAACCAAGTTGACTCGCAGTCTGTTGAGAATGTTGTCTGTCTTCTACGCAATTTGAGCTACAGGTAAATCTCAACAGTTATTTTTTATGGTCTTTCTATTCTTCCAGCTCTGCTGTTTCCTGAAGCTTTAGATATGTTTCGAACACACATTATTTAGGATACAAGAGGTCGAAGATCCCAACTACGACCCAGCTAGTGCGCATATGGTGTACTATAAAGGAAATAAAGTAGCACCAAATAGTCCAAGACTGAAGAAAGATAGAGACAAAAGAAAAGAACATGGAAACCAGGTCGTCACGGTAAGACCAGTCACACTGAATTTATCGTCACTGGATTAGACAATATCGCTTTATTTATGCCGCGGACGTTTTAGTCAAATTTGTATCCGGGTCTTGCTTTACGGCATAGCACCACGGTGTTGCTTGCACAAGCAGGTCCGACGAGCACGTTCTCCTTGCCTCCGAATCCAGCAGAAGACCTCTCGTTTCTCACATCGACCTTTCCCAATATCTGCTTCCCATCGAACGTAATGACACCACACGATATGTCGCCCTTCGTGTTGTTAACATGCACCGGGATCCACTCCTTGTCTTTATCAAACGATGCTGCCTAGAATACGAGTATTTCAGCTTTCTTTTATTTTATGGTATTAATTAACCTGATCAATCGAACGTACTTGTGGGAATGGAATCCAACTGTAGTCGAAGCCTCGAACATGGTCAGAGAGCTGTACGAGAACTTGTATCGAACCAACATTTCCTTTGTACTCATTCTTATTCCAGCAAAAGTTGGCCGCTACCTGGATGTAATCCTTCATTGGACTACGATTTTTAATCTGGGAATTTAAAGATGGAATGTACCTTGCCACCTTCGTTCCAGACTCGACCCATGACAGGTTCTCCCGCTTGGTACCACAGGGCAACGTATTGGTCTGGATTTTCTCCTGCAATGGTGTTGTCGAGGGTCTTGTCCAGAGCCTTGACAAGTGCTCGAGTTGGCCATGGATCTCCTGCACGAATGTCCATCCATTCGTCGATCATCACTCTGAATATTGTATTTGTACCATTATCTTTACATTCCCACATGTGTAGTGCTCTTATTGGAGGCAAGAAAGTCTGGTTTTGATGTTTCTATCATTAATGGCGTTTGAGAATGTAGTGCGTTCAGGTATTCCTCAGTAATCATTAAGAGCTCATTTTATAATTGAAAAAACTGTAGCTTAGTCGGTTAGCGCGTGTCAAGTAAAAATGCGGGGAGTTAGTAACATGGAAATTTTAATGACGTAAGGGACGGCAGACTATTTGGCATGCATTAGGCGTTAATGTGTTTCAGCATTTTACGAAGGAAAATAGGGAAAGAAACGCATTTAATACTATAAGGATATAGAAGATACTTGATAAGAATTCTTTTTTTCTGCATATGGACCTCTCGGGTTAGTAATCTCAGATGTAAGCGTTTACCTTGGAGGAGGGGGTCCTGGTGCGGGAGCTGGCGGTGGTGGTGCTGCCTTTGGGCAATTGCTGCATTCACAGAATGGTGGGCCACCGACAGTGTTTCTCATAACGATGTACATGTCAGAAAGTTCTCCTCCTTTTTTCTCGTACACCTTTCCATCGCATGAGAACAATGCGATTTCAGTTTTGTTATCGACGTAGCCGAGTAGAGCACCCTGTAAGCCGGTATCTATTAATTTCTCTGTTGCAGTGTGTGCTTAAAATTAGGATTTCATAATGACATCTACACATACGACGTTTTTTCGAATAATGCACTTGCTCAAATAGCGTTGAAAATTAGTATAAAATAAGACACTAATTCTTACAAAAACCCTAGAGAGTGTTTAAATAGATCCATTTGTTCTTCATAACTTCTTCTTTTATTCTACTACAGAGTATTCCAACTTAGCTCTTTGTTCCATCTTGTGGTAAACTTACTCACTGCAGGTTTTTCACTAAATTGTTATCGACACAGGATTTATTCTGCAAAACGCAACCACGCACACTTATACATGAACGGTTACACTTTTATGGGAGCTATAAGTGAATTCAACACAGAGACGAGGTGTCTGCACGACCCGTCCTCAGGTCTACTGTGCGGATCCCACCACCTTTCCCATTCGATTCGTTTCCTGGCATCATTCATCAGTGAAGGTCTTACAATTTTTTACTTGTGGCTTCAACTGCTGCTTGAGTCGATTCTCCCCGAAATCTTGAGGTAGCCGGACTGGAGCGTTCCCAATTGGATTGCTGAGAGTGATTTTTACCCAGACAAGTCTGGTTCCAATTTCTTGATCTCCAAAGGATGAGAGGCTTGGTGAATTTGGTGTGGGATCGAACCAACATCATGTTGTTGATGATCGGCCTCACTACCACTGTGCTATTCTCTTCCCAAAATATAGTTAAAGATGGGATATGGTTAAAGTTATTTCGTATTCAACTCTCATTCATCACATGGTGTGACGCTGTACGTAACTTCGCAACAACTTCGCTCCATATCCTTAATTTGAAGAAGATCCGTGCGACTTTAACACAAAAATAAATATAGTGTACGGGGAAATTGTTAAATAACGTAGGAGTTTTTCTTCTAGTGTACCAGTTTTTATAGCATTTGAACTGTGCTGAACTTATGTGATGGCTGCAGCGTTTGTGTTGCAATAACTAATGGGCGATATGTTTTGTTTATCGACTCATCTATTGTCTTTTTCTGAAGTTCACTTATAATTTCTATCGTCGTTCACATAATCGCTCACCTCTGGACGATCTTTCCATAAAATCGGGAATGAGTCTCCACACCTGAGAAGTTGACGAGCTTCACTTTTTTCGAAACGATCTTTGTACAGTACCCATTCGTACCAGAAGCCTTGTGTGTTGTGATCACCAGTGTACTGGAGAACCTAAAAAGGATAGCTGTATATGATGCATGGTTGCCAAAGACGTAGAAATTTCGTACTATACCTGAATATTTCCCTCTAATTGCTGGGCGGTCCTAAGTTCGGCATTTTTGTAAGGAAATGAGCACTCGACAACTCCTCCGTTGTTCCACGATCTACCATGGATCGGTTTTCCATGTTTATACCACAGCGCGACATACATATTTTGTTGACCCAGGCACTGAAATAATCGTTTAGTTCCAAGGTGATGGAAATATCTACATAGGCGAACTCACTTTTACTGGATTCGGTGGAAATGAAGTGCCTATCTTTTGAAATGCCCATGTATCTTCTTGTGGAGCCGGGTTGGGCATGAGTCCGCGAAGCGATGAGCGAAAGAAATGGAAGATTTGCTGATCTGTGCACTTATATACTCCCACGTTTTCTGATGAAATCAAAACAACTCGTTATTGTGACAGTACAATATTTGAAGTGAGGTTGGTTTCCTGTTAGCAAACATTTGCCCTGCCCCTTATCTCGAGCGGTTACTTTCATTTCCTAGATTAGTGCAACTTGTGCGGGCGTTCTTCTTTTCCCTTAAGCTCACCGAGTATTGTGGACTAGAGTTTTAGCACATAGAGTAGATCGATTTTAATTGTTGAATTGGGAAATGGGTCCGGTTTTTAAACGTAATTCTCAAGTAAAGTTATTTCAGCCTGGAGTGGTAAAGTTTCTATCAACCAATAACAAATACTAGGTTCGGAAATCCTCTCAGTGGTTTACTGCCTCATCGCAGTTGGGAGGTGCTCCTGGGTGTCAGGCTGCGATGTACGGCGGAGGGATTCGTCCCCACAACCTGGTATCCCAAGTTTAGAAGGAGTCCGGTGATTTCATCCGGAAGCCTAACGAAGAGTTAACCGATGCCAGAATCCACCACGGTCTTGGTATCAAAGTCGCATGATGGTAATCTCCCTCTGATCCATAAGGGCTGCGACTGCCTGTCCTGGTGGCGACTTGGAGCAGACTTTGACCAGGCTGTCTTCGGAATTCCAGAAAACCACAATGGCATAACTAGCAAATATCCGAAAGATGGTGATTATCCTGGGTTCCGCGCAACTACTGATGACGGGCTATACAAGTATTCAAGTAAGGTTCGGAAATTAATGGCCAGTTGCAACGCTTTTTTAAGTGTCATCTATTAGCTCAGAGTACACATTGTTCATCGAGATAAAGACCTTTAGAATATACTTATTCTTGCCAATGAGGAACAAGTTTATTTATATCGGTAGCTGCTGGCTTCTGTGGACGATGAAGTAGTTGAAGGCAGTTTTGGCCACAGCTTGGATTGTGTTGCATGTTCTACAGGAAGATGTCGAAATGCTTGAAGAAGTACTAGTGTGTAGGCAAGACGCTGAGGTAAAAGGGAGTTTCGTAGTCCAGCTCCTTTAATATTTGCAGCATCGATAGTGCAACTTGTGGCCGACCGTCTGTTGTGTCTTCCCAATTCACAGGCGGTCCATTTTTCGAGCTTATTTGATTTTCAGATCGTCTTCAGACGCTGCGGAACAGTTTAGTTGTTTTTACCGAGTTTGTAGCAATCTTCTGAACAATCTTGCGCGTATTTGATCCGTCCAAAGCCTTCAGTTATTCATCGTCAATAACAGAAGGACGTTCGCGATTATTCTCAACTTCAGCGTCGAATTCGTCACGACGGAATTTTCCAAGCCGACGTTCTACTGAGCATTCCTTAGGACTTCCTTGGCCACATACCTCTTATTGTTTCGAGCCGTTTACGTTGCGTATCTCCGACTTTGAATTCATAGAAGTAAATTAGTAGAAATAGCGGTTTTGGCATTTGAAATTTTCACCGTTAGAATTTGTCAGAACACATCTTATATTGTAACTCGATTATATAGGGAACTACATAAAATAGGGTTTTCGATGCTATGTAACTTTACATGCTTCGAAAAAAAGAAACTTGTTAAACCGTGTAGAAGAGAGTGGAAGTCACATATCCATTTTTCATTAATTTTTCAAATTTTATTAATTTCTCAGCCTAACAGAAAACGTTAGAATTCTTTGCCAGCAATCACCTTTATCACTCTTGGTCTCGTTGATCGTCTAGAGACTCGATCAGGCACCAATAAACCTTTCATTTCTCCTTGCCGCGTGCAAGAGTAGCCCAGTGGGTTCCCCTCACTCTAGAAATTCGTTGAGCGTCATATTTTTCTTCTAGGGTTTTGGGAGGAACTCACAATCATCACGACCGCGGTCTTCCAGCTGTACATTTGATATCCCGAGGAATCTAGTCGTTAACGGCTGTTGTCCGTCGGTTATCATTTGTATGCATTATTGTTCGTGTCTACTTTATCTTCGACAATTTGGCATATAGAGCGGCGTATTTGATTTTTGACCGTTCACATAGGTGGGAGCTTCGGATCTCCTCTAACTTGTATGGTACGAGATACACCTAGTGTCATCCTTTTGATGGCACGTTCTGTAACGCTGAGTGATCTTTCACTTTTTATGAGCTTGTTACGCAGGCTTTTTGTTTTGCCACAGCAAAATCCCAGGCTTAGGTTATAACCGCTTATAGCAATAATAAAAATACAGTATTAACAATCTGACGATATCTAGTTGAACGAACGGGCTGAGCATGGATGAGCGAAGCCAAGACACAGCGAAAACGCTTGGGCGAAACTGAGCGAAACACTAAATGGATGACTAGTAATGCTGATTTTATTCCTTCTGTAATGGGCGATGTTTGACAGAATGAACTAGGGACGATGTTTAGAGGGAGATTCTAGAATGTTTCTCAGTTAGTATAATCTGTTAGGGTTGCTTGCACAGATGAAGGCTATATAAGGCTTGCACAGAAAACACTTAACACCGGCTCAGTAACGTGTACAAAGAGCAGATTGGAACGGCAGTTGCTGAAAAATGCCTGCAGTTGGCAGCTGCTTGTTCAGTGCCCGAACTGTCGGACGGAGAAAAGCAATTCTTAAAGAGAAGTTACAGAATTACTTTCCAGTGAGCTGCGAAGCAGGTGCATGAAATAGTTTCTAAGAAGCAATTCCCAGAATGTGCAAAGATAAATGTGGTTACCAGTAGATATTGTCATTTTAGGAAGCATACGATCGATTCGAAAATCGAAGCTATTCAAGGAATACACTCTTTTGCTGAGACATCTATATTATTGAGACATATATTATATATTTACATATACATATGCATATACATTTTTATATATAATGGAGAGAATACCGGCATATAAATCTGACAGAGAGAAATTAAATCAGCGGCATCAGTGTTGCGATGAGTAACACGTGATGCCTCGGAATGGGTAATCGCTGGTTCGGTCTGGCTCGAAGTACAAGTTTTGCAAATATCTCAGCGTCATAGTGCTTGTAGTTCACATCATAGTCACCCTCTAATTCAGATAAGGGCAGGCGTGCATGGTTACTAACCTGATCAGACTAGTAATCGCGGTTGGTTTTATCCATTACCTTTCTGCAATATGTAAGCCGTCTGAGCGTCGAAGTACGGTCATCCTGGTTTTGCAATTGGTGATTTTTTCGTGTCTTTGGAAATGCTTTTCCCAACCTCTGTAGTTTCCACCATAGCTGCTACTGTTTTCTGTTTAAGGTCCTCTTGCGTCGTCTGTCTGCATTGTTTCGCAAGTAGGAAGTGAGTTGATGGTTGCCTATAGCTCGTGGAAATTCACATTGCCGTGTTACATCGAGTGTTTTTGGAGGCAGACGTCTCTTAGTGACTTTCGAACTCAGCTTTCATCACGTCAACGTGAAGATGTTGAATGAATTCATAGTATTCCTTGTCGATGTCAACAATAACGGTGTCTTCCCAAAAGGCGACAAGTGAACCGAATAGGTCCCTGTTTGTGGTTGTTTTGAGGCTTCGTTTTTAAATTTAACGACTTTCTCTTTCCCCGAGGCATGAAATATTGCACCAAAGAGGCGCAAGTCTGATCTCGTGTCGAATTTTGATACAACATCGAAATCGGTTAACCAAAAGCTTTGGTTTACTATGATATACTCTGTTTCGTTATGGTACTCTCCTGTGGTAGACTCGCTCGCTGGAGTGTTACGGCGCTTATTTATCAAAGTGTCTGACTTCGCTTCGCAGTGTTAATCGATTAAGATTCGTTAAGGAAGAAATGAAACTTCTAGGAAGCTAACTTTGGGGTAGTTGTCCGAAAATTCCCTAAATTTCCCCTAAATTCCCTAATTACCGAAAGCATTTTCCCTAAATTGTGATGAAGACGCAAAGGTGCAGTGGTCTGTCCTGTTCCAAGTGACGAATAAGAGTTTAGGTGGAGACCAGAAGTGGCAATGTTTATGAAATGAGAAATAATCGGATTCGAACAGAGTAGCAGTTCGATGCACTCAATTTATTGTGCGTTCCGTGTACATTGAGGCATATTTGTGAGAAAAGGTCAATCCCAGCAATTAGATAATTTGAAAGCGTGCAAGAGGTGGCTCTGAGTGCTTTCCAATTTATCGTTGAGGTGTAAATTGAACCGTGCACGTTTATTCACAGTGGCAACGGCTGTGCTTCGTAAGCTGCTCTTTGGTTCAATTCCACCGAAAACGGTAAGAAGTGTGATGTCACTGACCTTACAGTGCGGATGTTTTCTGACTGTGGTGCAACTTGTAGGCTGCAGCCCACTCACGATCTGTTCTATGGATTTTTGTATGGAGTTTTAAATGTATTACAAAGAGAGTTATAATGATAATTTTCCCTGTTAATGACTGGCACTTGATCGTGTAAATTTCTTCCGCTCTCGCTGAGTCTTGGCTTATAGACCGCAGGACTCGATGCGTCTGTCTTGAAAAAGATAGATCTTTGGTGAATTTTGGAACCCGAGACCATCGATTGCCGGTTTTTGCCCATTTTGAAGGTTTTTAAGTGCTCTATATGTAGATGAGAAGAAAGAATAAAACCAACTTATAAACTTGTTTTATTTTTTCTCTTCAACATTTTCTTCAGAAGTAGCGCCGAACTCAAATACTTTCGACTTAAGTTCCAGTAAGGTTACCACGTCTGTGATTTTAATATAAATAATCGGCTCTGGTAATACATACGATCTCACCAGTCGTCGGTGTCGTGTGATATGTTCTGATGCTTTGTTTCAACTTGCATAAATGCCGGTGATTTGAACTCTACGCTACAATCCTGCTATAGCAGAATTTAGCCGCAGGAGCGGTCGTTGATGTTGCACCTTGTGTTTATTTTGCTGTTTCATCATAAGGTTGACAAAAGGGTTTTTGCAATGAAGCTTTTATATCTGAAATGTGCTTGTTGCTCTGTTAGTGTATTGTGTCACCAGAAATTTATGGCGATACGTGGCTAGTCGAATTTGTACCCAGGTCTTGCTTTACGACATAACACCATGGTATTGCTTGCACAGGCCGGTCCGACGAGCACGTTCTCCTTGCCTTCGAATCCAGCAGAGGACTTCTCGTTCCTCACATCGACCTTCCCCAATATCTGCTTCCCGTCGAACGTAATGACACCAGACGATATGTCGCCTTTTGTGTTGTTGACATGCACCGGGATCCACTCCTTGTCTTTATCAAAAGATGCTGCCTAGAATACTACTGTTTCAATTTTCTTTTATTTTATATTATTAACTAACATGGTAATTCGAACATACTTGTGGGAATGGAATCCAACTGTAGTCGAAGCCTCGAACATGGTCAGAGAGCTGTACGAGGACTTGTATCGAACCAACATTTCCTTTGTATTCATTCTTATTCCAGCAAAAGTTGGCCGCTACCTGGAAGTAATCCATCATTGGACTACTATCTTTTATCTGGGAATTTAAAGATGGAATGTACCTTGCCACCTTCGTTCCAGACTCGACCCATGACAGGTTCTCCCGCTTGGTACCACAGGGCAACGTATTGGTCTGGATTTTCTCCTGCAATGGTGTTGTCGAGGGTCTTGTCCAGAGCCTTGACAAGTGCTCGGGTTGGCCATGGATCTCCTGCACGAATGTCCATCCATTCGTCAATCATCACTCTGAATATCGTTTCTAATAATAATCGTTCTCTGCATTCTCATATTCACAAGTTAATCGGCCGTAAAATCTGCTCAGGAGTGATGCTAAGTGTTCTAGCTGTGAGTGTGTTGACGGCTTATGAAATCATGATTCTAATGAACATTGCACAGAGATCTCACTTTGTCATATTTCAATTTTTTCTGAAATTTTGTTAAAATTATGAGAAAGAACCTTGGTGGTGGTGGCCCAGGTGGCGGAGGAGCTACACGGCACGTAGAACATTCACAGTGAGGAGGCCCTCCAACAGTGTTTCTCATAATGATATACATGTTGCTGAGTTCACCTCCTTTTCTTTCATACACTTTGCCGTCACATGAGAACAAGGCAATTTCAGTCTTGTTATCTACATAACCAAGTAACGTGCCCTGCAAGTTGGCTTGTTTTATTTTTTTTTTGCTATAGCTGAGATTTAGATTTGATAATCACGTGCACTATTGTGTGACGATCAGGAAAATGCGCTTATTCAAATGGCGCTGAAAATTAAGATAAAATAACGCGTTTGCACTGTTATTATCTATACGGTTTGTTATGGAGCCATATAGTGTGGAATAGAATAGCGTTCTTGTAGCCGGGCATTCAGGAAAGTTATAATTCACCAACAAAATTCGAGAAATAGTTTTGGACCCAGAGTAAAATGTGCCATCATAACTACTTGGATACCAGGTCACCCTGTCCTAACAGGTCGAGCTGCAACTGTTTTTCCTTCGAGGAGGTAGCAATATCTGTGCTGGGAGTATCTTCGTGTCATTGTTTTACCGAGTGATAGAAAGTTATAAAACAGGCCGAGTCGCTTTTATTGTTTACCAACCATCTATTCAACAGCTTAAAGGACCATACTCGTGAGTCACTATTTGTTAACCAATGGCCGTATTTTAGCGCAGTGAAGTCATTGTTGAATGGAACAGTCTGCAGATAGTATTCTTGATATGATAAAGACCCTTTTTATCTTGATTCTTATCACGTTTGTCTTCTGCGGTCTTCATTTACACGATCACAGTGCTTGCTTGAAACTCCGAAACATAATAGCAGTTATGCTCACCTCTTTGCGGTCTTTCCACAAAATTGGGAATGAGTCCCCACACTTGAGAAGTTGCCGAGCTTCAGTTTTTTCGAAACGATCTTTATACAGTATCCATTCGTACCAAAATCCTTGTGTGTTGTGGTCTCCTGAATATTGGAGCACCTGGAATAAGTATGGTAACGTTAGACCATTGATAATGTAAAACCTGTAATGTAAAACTGGTCTCTTTGGAGGTAGCAGGGGTTTTCTGCGCACCTGAATATTTCCTTCGAGTTGTTGTGCTGTTCTCAGTTCAGCATTTTTGTAAGGAAATGAACACTCGACTACTCCTCCATTGTTCCATGACCTTCCATGAATCGGCTTTCCATGCTTGTACCATAAGGCTACATACATGTTTTGTTCTCCCAAGCACTAAAAACCTTGCTGGGTGTTCGATAGTATTTCGTTCACATTTAGTAAAAGGACCTTGACTGGATTTGGCGGGAAAGCTGTTCCAATCTTCTGGAAAGCCCATGTGTCTTCTTTTGGTGATGCGTTTGGCATGGCTTGTAGGGCGAATGGAAACGCCGACTTAAAGTGAAACTGTATTACTAATTGTATTTATACCTATGCATATCACTATCGTTATCGTTTCTTCACGCAATTGCCAATGATGATGAAAATAGTTAACAAATGAAATATTCTAGGGGCCTGCGGTATTGTGGCAACCGTATGTTGTGAAACTCTATTTGAAACTTTTGCAAGAAGCGTCTAATTTGGATACCCTAGAGGTATGTCTTTTTTTCTTCTTTAGCTCGTTTCTGCTGAAAGTGAAATGTGAAGCGAAGTAATTGAAAAATAGAAAATAAAGCAGAAGAGATGAGAATCATTCTTTAGGCGTCTGCAGGTGCTGTCCAAAATCTCGCTGCGTGTCAGTTTGCACCCAGTGCCGAGGTGCGTGCTGCTGTCCGTGTTGAGAAAGGGCTTCCAGTGCTTGTTGAACTAATTCGGCTCAAGGACGACTATGTTGTATGCGCAGTGGCAACGGCTCTGCGAAATCTTTCTTTAGATTCAAGGAATTTAGAACTTATTGGTGAGGATTTGTGAATGGTTTTTCTGCAATCATTTTGTGTCCGATGTTTTCGTTCTTCCTGACTGCGTTTACACTTATTTGTTCGACATATTCTTTACAACTACCGCTTTGTGGATTCCATGTGATTTAGGAAAGTACGCACTACGGGATCTGATAGATAAACTTCCTGACACCGCTGTCCGTCGTCCGCCTGTTAGCGACCAAACTATCGGAGCCGTGTTGGGTATACTTTTTGAAGTGGTCAGAAGTAGCGCAGCTTTCACTAAGGATGTTCACGAGGCTAGAGGTCAGCATGTAGTCCAGCGATGAACTTATGTTTTTGGTGTATTTTTTCATTTGTATCAACTTTGATTTACGTAGTGCTGAAGAGTTTTGTCTGAGCACGTTTTACATGTACGTGCAATAAAGTTAAATTTAGGTAATCTACATATATACTAAACCTGATATGCCAATCCACTAACACTAGAGTTCCTTTCCGTATTTAACGAAACGAACTCACGTTTCCTGAGGAAATGAAAACACGTTTGTTCATTTAGGTACCGAAAAGTTGCGATTGTTAGCACGCAGTTATCCTATGTATTCACACCGAGTTTGTAAGTACGCGAGCCAAGTACTCTTCATGATGTGGCAGCACAAAGAATTGCACGACGGATTCAAGAGAAGTGGTTTGAAAGAAGCAGATTTCTACTCGGGAACAGCAAGGTAAACAAAGTGTTCATTATATTCCGAATTTATAGCTTGTGAGGCGTATATTCCTCGTTTTCCTTTTTTTTCTTTTTTTTTTTTGGTATTTGAGTTCTTGGCATGAAATCCATCTCTCCACAGTGGCTAATGAGCTTTGCATTTTACATGAAAATTTGACATTATCGTACTCTACGAGCTTTAGAGGTGATTCGACAACGTTGGCAAGGCCAATATCAAGTCAAGGGAAGGAGAGACCTGCTCTGTTAGACGAAACGACAAGTAGTGGAGGAGGATATGGTGCGGTTACTGACCCACAGGTGATTGGTTTTCCGAACGCATAACGAACGACGTGAGTTGGTCTCAACTCCCGTTTATGAGGAATGGTGGACAAAATGCATTAGTTTTAACCTATACACAGTCGAAAACAATGTGCTGGTTTAACTTGAAACAAATCTCAGCTCATAGGGGACTTTATCAACTGAAATAAAGCCTATTAGAAGCCATAGCTTTATCATCGAAATATAGGTTTTCCTTTTCTTCTACCACTATTTTTTTTCATCGTGACTCATATTTGGAGCAGTCGAAAGGTTGTAGAAATACGATTCTTTACTAGGAGTTCTGAAGAGTTATTGCTGTAATGTGGACTTTGGAAGGTACTGGAGCACAGGCTGAAAAGGGAAATCGTTTGATGATTTTAGTGGGAGTACTTGCAGTATCCTACTGAATGTGGTGGGCAAGACAACAGTACCATACATAAATGAATATTTGTTGAAGTATTGGGAAAATGAAAAGTAGAATTAGCGGATAATTTTCTGATTATTCATTATTTGGACATAAATAAGTTTGTAAGTCTTGAAACCGCCGAGCTCTGTGCGTTTTTCTTTGGTGGGTGTACTGATGATATAGTTTGTTCATGGTCGTTCGTTTTATGTAACTAATTTTGCTATTATATCAGACAATCTAGACAGAAAAGTAACTTTCGACAACTATCTGACTATCGTGATCACAAATCGTGACGTATCGGTTTGGTGTAGTTATTGATCAAATCACATGCGCTATTGACGATTTACAATTAGTAGCAAACCGAACTGGCTTAGAGTGTATTTTATTAGATTTCCTATTTTAGTCTTCATATATCGTTCGTATTTTTTCCTTTTTCATTGTTCTTATTCTTCTTTCTTTCTCCATACATACACTGCATACACTACATACGGCGCGTGTGGAGTAGTGGTCGGAGGCGTTCTGCAGCACACCCATGATGGATCCCGCGTCCACCAAGTGTTTCGTCCCTCCGGGGTGGGTCGCGAAATTGATATCAGACTTGTTTGGGGGTATAGCAGGACTGGATCGATACATCGATGGCCCACCGTGAGTTACACCGTTGTAAAGGCCAGATATGCATTCAGTCATCTTCAACGATGTTTAGTGAAATCGAATGCATGATGCATCCCTCAGGAATTGATCGACGCAGAGAGATTTATTCTTTATCCTTTTTTCTTTCGACATGCTCTAGATCTAAGTCATTATGGCACTGGAATGCGAAAAGTAATGAAATACATATTTGGAGTACTCTTGGTAATCTATAGCGTTTATTCCTTAATAATGGACTGTGTGCTCTTTATTGAACATTTCATGGCTAGCATATGACGAATTTTATCTATGGATTGCAGTGGTTATTTTCATTGGTGTGAATTGTACTCTAATTTTGTATTTTCAGCATCGACGTCCCTTACACCACCAACAAATCACTCCAGCAACTCAGAACGGGCAAAGACGGAACGACAAATCCCCTAACGAACCACTGTATGCCTCAGTACGGAAAGGCGATCGGCCTCGTGACGTGAATGACAGTTGGGTGTGAAACTGTCACGTCATAGGGATTTACTTTCTTCACTCTAATCAATTACTATGTTTCGTAAGGAGTTCTTCCGTGACCTAATCCGATTATTTTGCATATCACTCGTATTTCGACTAAACCAATAACCGTCATGGTCTGTTGCCATAGTGTGACTGTGCTTCAACATTCACTCCAACATACATGCGTAACAGACTGCTTTATCATATATTGTATGTGATCGATTGTGATGCTTGGCGAAGAAAATCGATTTTGTGCCATGCACTTATTTCGTATCTACGTTGCACTTGAATATTTTCTATTATTGTAATGACCTCTTTCGGAAAAGTGGCTAGTCGTTAGCATATAACCCATCCAGTAGGACCCTACAGACCAGTGAAATCGATGCGCGGACGAGACTAGAGTGAGCAAGGCGTACGTACGCATTGATAGTCTTCACGAGCGTCGGATATTAACACCCCGCGTTTTTCAGCATGACACTTAGCACACAGATTTCGTAACCTACCTTTTTTGATGACGAAACCTTGCGCTTTCTTTTCCGTTGAGGTGTCGTCTGGTTAACCTGTGAACGAGCAGAGTTTTGTTTTCACTATAATACATGGAGACATGATGATGTGTTCTTAGTGGATGTTGTTATATTTGAACTGATGGTTTCCGTTGTTGAGAGTATGTTGTGCGACTTTTCTTTTCACGTCTTCACTTGATCCAAACGTTGTAAAGTACTTCTTTGTTCTTACATTTTGAATGTGACATTCGCCGCGGGTAGCCCTTTTTCTCTTGCATTATTTCGAATGGAATCCTTCCTTGTCTTCGTGTTTTTATCTTTCATTCTAAGGACTTCACTTTATATTCGTAGTGCTACCGACCGTTTTGACATGAGATCTTGGTCATAAGTGTTAATTCATTTATTAAACAGTATGGTCGAAAAATGACCAAATCTTATGTCTTCAAAGAAATTGTAGTGAGAACGGTTGTAGCCGTTAAGTGATCGAGGGAAGTGCTTTGCAACATGTATGAACTTGTATTCTAAGTGGGTTTGTACATGCAAGCTTACCTTATGTTGTTGTCCAGTATTTTTCACTTAAATAAGAGCAAATTATTATACGTATCAGCAAAGAACACGGGTGAAAATCTACATAGTGGGGCTTGGTACAAGATATACGTGCTTGTATAAAGAAAAGGGCTGCTTAAACGGGACTTTGTTATGGCTGGAGTTGCCTTTTGTGGACTTTGTTTTTTCCCTCAAACCTCTCCCGAGGAGCTATAGTTTCATAGCCATTCAAAATGACGACTTGCTGCACCAATTTTAGGCATTCTTCTTTCTGCTTTCTGTGTGTAAGAAAGCGGGCTGCCATTTCATAACGTTCAAATCCTGGTGGCTGTTCGGAACATGTTCCTCACAGTCATTTTGTGCATGACGGGTGAGAGGAGGAAGTGAACCGCTATCCTTTTGTTGCTTTGCTGTCAGTACCATATGATGATGTATCCGCTTTTGGCACGTTGATTTGAACGTTAAGAAATGGTAGCCAGTTTTTCCGCTCCTCTCAGTGAATGTTATGTACTCCGACTTTTCGTTCAATAACTCAAAAGCATTTGTGCATTTCCTCTTGTGTGAAGCAAATGACAAAACAGTCAGATGATTGATGTACATATCTGTTATGGAGTAGTTGCCGGAGATCGATTACTGGTGCTTCCACTGTAGACATAAAAGCAATGGTTAGGCTTGATGCTAGTCGTTGTCCCATTGCCCTCCCTCCAATTTGTGCGTAGTTATTATCGGGCCATTCGTAGATCGACCAGTTTAGGCACAGCTTTAGGAGGTCAATGAGCTGGTGAATCGTGAAGCCATACATGCTTACTGCTTCGTGTTGCATAAGGAATTCGAGGATGGCTTGCATAGTGTAGTCATTCGACACGTTAAGGTAAAGGACG